CTCTCTGTAAAAAAAAAAAAAAAAAAAAAAATCAATAAAATATATATTTTTTAAAAGTGAACTTGAATGCCACTGTTAGTGTACCTGGATAAGGCCACAAACATTTTTACAAGCTACTTTTCTTCTTCCTTTTTAAACAAAAGTATGTTTTTTATTGATTTTAGAGAGAGAGGGAGGGAGACGGAAAGAGAGAGAGAAACATCGATGCAAGGAAGAAACACCAATCAGTTGCCTCCCATACACATCCCTACTGGGGATCGAACCAGCAACCTGGATATGTGCCCTCTCCAGGAATCCAACTTGAGACCCTTTGGTGCCCAGGACGATACTCAAACAACTAAGCCATACTGAGCAGGGCCTTTCTTCTTTCTTTGTAGAGCAAATAACCTTCTCCATATATAGCTAAAAATAAATACAGTGTTTTTCCGTGTCTAAGAAGCCCCCATATATAAGTCACCCCCAACCCCCCACTTTCCCAACTCAAAAAGAAGAAATCAATATTTTAAACGTTTTGCTGGTTTTCCTTTTCAGGCCTTCTTATTTGGCATCTTAAGGAGTTGTTCTTCCTGTTTTCTCCACTGTCCCATCCTATACTCAGTGGGAGGAGGTCCACGTGGTCTCTCTGCAGCTCTGTGTCTATGCTCTTTTGCACAGCTGATCACACTCAGTTTGAATTTTGCAGAGTAAGACAGTCGCTTACCAGTATTTATCTTTTTATTTGTTGACATCTTCATGGGCTCAGAATGCTCTGGTCCCTGTTGCCTCTGCACACTCTCCACCTCCACCTCCTATTACTGCATCAGCTGGCGTCAGTAGCAATAAGGCCCGAGATTGGAGGAAGCCTGTTTGACAAGGTATGGGCAGCTGCACAGCTGCATGGCTCCCTCCTTGGCTGTATAAGAGGTCCCTTGATGTTCAGTCTTAACAATTTTAGGGGGAAAAAATAGCATCTTATACATGGGAAAGTACGATATTCTTATTCTCAGCCTATAAATACTTACTGACCCCGGGCATAGGAGTGTTGTCTTTAAGTTGAGTTATGTTGAGGGCCATCTCTTAAAGGAGGAGTCTGCTCCGAACTTCTAACCCCAGTTAGATGTTGTGAAGTGTGATTACTTGCTCGGTGTATAACATTCAAGGAACAGTGTTATTGGGAAGTGATGCTGTGATTCATTTTCTTGGACCTTGTTCGTAACATAGATCTGTAGTTATCTACAATCTCTCTGTATAAAAGGCTAATGTGCAAAGTGTCCACTCAGGAGTTCGACCTGGAGAATGGGAGTTTGATAGCTCACTGTGACGTGCACTGACCATCAGGGGGTGGTGTGGAACATGGTGACCAGTGGTGGCAGGGCGCTGAGGGAGTGAGGGAAGGAGGCGAAGAGATAGGGAGGGAGATCAGGGGAACTGTGCACTGGTGGTGTGTGGGGGAGGAGGCAGAGAGAAGGGGAGGCAGGGAAGCTGATTGGCCCTGATTGATGGCCAAGCCTGAGGACCTACCTGTGCACAAATTTCGTGCACCAGGCCTCTAGTACTATAATATGGCTAGTACTTCCTACTGGTTTGGGGACAGTAGATGCATCATTTTCCATCACGCAGATTCCCAAGTGAACCTGGCCTGGTGGCTCAGACAGTTCTTCAGGGTTGACAGTTATTCTCCAGACCTTTGCCCCATTTTCCTTTGTCCACAGCGCTTGTCACCCTTTGAAACGGTCTCTCTTGCCTGTCCTGTCCCTTATCTTTCTCGTTTGCTGCTGTCCATCCTCAGGCCTGGAAGACAGTCTGGGTCGGAATACATTGAGCTCACAATAAGTATTCCATGTGTTGAATATATGAATGCATGAAGGGGTGATGAGAGAATATTTAATTTGTTAACTACTAAAGTAACCTGGAGGGGTGGGGGTTTCAGGTAGAAACAGCTGTAATAATGAAACTCCTCTTTAAAATGTTAATTTAGGACTGAATAAAATAAGCATGGAGCTGACTTCTTGGCAAAACAAAGGAGTTACAGGAGTAACAGAGCAAAATACCACGAAGTGTTTTATGATAAACTTTGGAAATTTTTATTTTGCTAAGAAACTATTAACTTTTAGGAAGACCGTGTCAGTATGTTTGATTATAACCCTGAGAGTAGTAATTAAGTAAAAATTATCTATTTTGGAGCAGAGATTTTGACAAAGTTGCTCTCTGTGGTGTGTAGGGTCTGTAATTACCATTGGTGTGCTTTTGGCATAACTGTATTTGTTCCAAGATCTATTTGGGTTAGAAAATATAGTATTTTTGCATAACTATTGATTGTTGTTAATTTGGAAATAAAGTTTTAACAATTGCTGTCAGACAGAACTAAGTAATTGAGCACAAAATTACTAGCTTGGATTTCGAATTTGTAGTTCTCTGGTATTTATCAATATAAAGCAAGGTTTGTTTGTGTTTTTACTGATCGTTGTCTAATTACTTCATTTTCACAAAGTATTGATTAAAAAACCAGCACAGTGAAAATGTATTTAGTCACACTCTCTAATATGTTTGCGTTATTTGCTTCTTTAATTAGATATTATCTTCCATTATGAAAACCTATCAGTGAATCATTATTTGTAAAAGGAGATGGAACATACATTAAACACAGTTCTCTATTAGATTTCACACATTTTTTTTAATGATAACATCAACCCAGATGGAAGTATGTACCATTGTAATGAGAAAAGAAAAAGATAGAATAGAATAATAATGGGGTCTATTTAAATGTTTAAAAATCAAATTGAAAGCTTGTATCTTGCCTTTGCAAAAGAAACACCGCTGCAGGACAGGAGGTGGGTACCTGATGGCAGACCAACACCAGGGGAGGGAGGGAGGATGCTCGCTCACTCTCTGGGAGGACCACGGGGAGGCACTGGCCAGGAGGATGAGTGAGAAGGATTTGGGTATATACTAGCACAGGAGGCTGACTTGTCTTGGTTTAGGCCCGTGGTCGGCAATCTGCGGCTCGAGAGCCACATGTGGCTCTTTGGCCCCTTGAGAGTGGCTCTTCCACAAAATACCATGGCCTGGGCAAGTCTATGTAGAAGAAGTGGTGTTAGAAGAAGTTTAGGTTTAAAAAATTGGGCTCTCCAAAGAAATTTCAATCATTGTCCTGTTGATATTTGGCTCTGTGGACAAATGAGTTTGCCGACCGCTGGTTTAGGAAATAAGGGGACACTCTTTCCATTCCCCTCCTCACGCCCAGTCCCCACGGATCTCCTACGGAGTGTGACCGTGGTCGCATAATGTGGTGATTGACTCAGTAAGGGCAGTTTTCGCCTTTCAGATCTCTTTCTTTATGTGTGAAGAGGGTGGCAAGCCCACACTGGTGAGCCCAAGTGGAAGGACCTTGGCTTCACCCCTATTCTTGCCATCACTTTGCTCAACAAGAAGCAAGGGTTCTAAGCCAATCTGAGAAAGACAAATGACATATGACTTTTACTTGTTTGTGGAATCTAATGACCAAAATGAATTGACCACTACAATAAGACCTGAAGCAGGGAGGCATGGGACAGACGGACACACCTCCATGTGGGTTGTGGGGATGAGAAGAGATAAACCAAAGAACGTATACACTTACGTGCATCACCCACAGACACAGGCAATAGGGTGGGGAAGACCTGCGGTGGGTAGAGGCTGGGAGAATGGGGGTAAATGGGTGTAAATGGGAGATATCTGTATCCTATCAACAATAAAAAGTATCCATAAAAAAAGAAGCACGAGTTGGAAGTTTATTTCTCCGGTGCTAATAGTCTATTTTAAATTACTATTTTAAGTCATCCAGTGACACTTCTATAGTGAAATAAACTCAGCTGGATGATTTGGGCTTTGTGCTTTTGACTTTTCAACTTTTTTAGCATGAGTCCTTATAGTTACTACAGTGATAGAGACCATCATCCTGGGATAGGTCAGACCTATCAGAATGACAACTGGTAAGTCTGTCTAGGGAATTGCAAACATTCCATATTCAAGGTATAATTGATATATCTCATTATTAATGGTTTCAGGTGTATAGTATGATTCAATGTTTGTATACATCGAGTGGCCAGATTATTATGATCTCTGAATGCATAATAATCTGGCCACTCAGTCTCTGTCCTATGGAATAAAAGGCTAATATGCAAATTGTTGCCTCGACCAGGAGTTCGATCAGCAGGTAGGCCAGCAAACCGCTCATGTCTCCTCCCCCTGGCCAGGCTGGCCGGACCCCACCCATGCACGGATTCATGCACTGGGCCTCTAATATATAGTATATATACACTGAGTGGCTAGATTATTATGATCACTGAACGCATAATAATCTGGCCACTCAGTGTATATTATGAAAGGATCACCACAATGAGTTAACATCTACCACCATACATACCATGTTTCCCTGAAAATAAGACATCCTCCGAAAATAAGACCTAGTGCATGGAAAGATAAGACATTCCCTGAAAATAAGACCTAGCGCAACTTTGGGAGAAAAAAAAATTAATATAAGACACTGTCTTATTTTCGGGGAAACAGAGTAGTAAAGGACATTTTTTTCTCTGATGGGATTTTAAAAATATGTATTTTTTTTAATTGATTTCAGAGAAGAAGGGAGAGGGATAAAGAGATAGAAATATCAATGATGAGAGAGAATCATTGATCAGCTGGCTCCAGTGGGGACCAAGCTCACAATCCGGGCAAGTGCCCTGACCAGGAATTGTACTATGACCTCTTGGTTCATAGCTTAACACTTCATGACCTCGCCATGCCAATGAGCTGTGTTGAAGTCTTTTAAATTCTATTCTCTTAGCAACTTTCAAAGATGCAATGCAGTGTTTTTAACTGGAGTCCCCACATGCTGTTCATCACATCCTAATGACTGACATGTTTTCTAACTGGAATTGGTACCTTTTGCCCCCCTTCAACCATTCCACCGACCCTCTACGTCCCAGAAGTCCGCTGACATTTGAGAAAACTAAGAGTTTCCTCCATTGCTGTTGCCTTTTCAGGATCAGAGCCACAGCCAGGTGTCCCAGTACCGCCAGGATCCGTCCTTGATCATGAGGTCCATCGTCCACATGACGGATGCTGCCCGCTCGGGGATCATGCCTCCTGCCCAGCTCACCACCATCAACCAGTCTCAGCTCAGTGCCCAGTTGGGGTTGAACTTGGGAGGAGCCAGTTTGCCCCATACGTCTCCTTCCCCTCCAGCGAGCAAATCGGCAACCCCTTCCCCTTCCAGCTCCATCAATGAGGAGGATGGGGATGACTCCAGTAGGGTAAGTTCACTGCCAAGTACAGAACCACCCAGGGAATTCCGGGATCTCCCTCACCCCCCCCCCCCCATGCTCATGTCTTTCAACTTCATTCATGGTTTCACCTTCTTTCTCTTCATGGATATGTGTTGGCATTTAAATGTATGATGATTACTTTTTCCACTCTTTCACTCATTCTCTGTGTAACATGTGTTCAGTCAGAATTTGGAAGCTCTGGCTTCTACTGGTTGGAAGGCATTGAGCAAGTTCATTTGACTCCAGTAGGCCTAATGTTCGGAATATAATAAGGGGGGGAGGGGGCTCGCAGTAGACTTTATTCTAAACATGCTTTGATTCTGATTTAATGTTCATGTGGGCGAGTTTCATCAGTTAGTTATTTTAACTACCACTCCATTTGACAGCCTTACACCTTGGATTATGGTTATCATTCATGAAGTTCTAATTGTCTTACATCTTTGCTTTTGTCTTGGGCAGTGTAGATTATTTAAGTTTACATAGTTTGAAGTAAAAGCTTAGTTGCAGGCGTGTTTTCTTTCTGAATGCCTAGAAAAGTGTTCTGTTTCATTAAATTGACTTATTCTGGGTCCACAGTTACTCTTTCCTTACTCATGAATTAGGGGCTGTACACCTATTGTGCGCTTGGCATTTTACTTGGTTCTGGTGAGAGAAAGATGAGAGCTACTACCCATGGGACTCCCCATTGGGGAGGAAGAGCCATGTTGAAAAGGAGCTACAGATGTGATTAGCGGATAACTGATGTGCGTGGTGTCCGGACATTGTGATCTATTCTGCTTGGGAGAGCAGCCTGTGGACCACTTTATTGGGAGCTGATATTTGAGTTAGGTCTAAGAGGATACATAAAGGTTTGTGAGGTAGAGGAGAGAGGCCAGCATTCTGGTAGACGGAGTAATGGAAGCACATTGGAATTTATGGCTCTCTTCAACAGTGTGATTTGGAGGAGGAAAGATCGGAGTTGGAGAAAGAAAATGTGGTAGCCTTTCTCTTGTGGGCAGGTCAGGGCTGATTAATTATTTGTAGAGCGGGATGGTAAAAGCAAACCAAGGCTGTAGAAAGATCACTTTGGCTATATATAGAGTGCATCACAGAGGGCGGGACTTGAGAGAAGGAAACCAATGAGAAGACGCCGTCTATGAAGAGTTTCATGTTAGCAAAGGAAAGGGTGGCCAGGAGGTGCCAGATCAGTGAGACACTGCAGAGGGAGAATCATCGGGGTGTGGCGGCCCACTGGAGTTTGAAGGAAGAAGAAGAAAAATTGGGTTTTAGTTGAAGAGCTAACATGCATGTCAGTAAGTGAGAGGATCACCCCAGAAACTCAGGAGAGCAATTTTTTCTCCCCTGATGGGGAAGGCGAGAGTTTGGCATATGATGGGTTGAACTTGAGATGCTTACCGTAGAATCTACAACTCAGCTACTTGGTAGTGCAACGAGGGACTTGGGACCCTCAGCACAACAACATGAAGACATGGGAGTAATCACAAATTCCTACAAGTGTCCAAGGAGCAAGTCAAGGCCAGAACCCAGAGCCTCATTAGTTTTTAAGTAGCAAATGGAAGAAGAGAAGTTAGAGAAGACGGAGAGGGTGAGAACAGGGTGCAGGTAAAGTGCTGTGGTGGGGATTTCAAGAGTGAGGGTTTGGTCAGTGCCATCCTGTGAGCACCCATTGAACACAGGGCAGCACATGCACTAAGTCTCTGCTCACACAAGGACTTCAGTGATGGGAAGTCAGAAATAATAAAACAGGGTATCAAAGTATAGCTAAGTGATCCATGGTCATTACGTAAAAGAAATGGACACCTTTCACTTCACTCCTGTTTCTACTGATGTTAACACTTACCTCCGTGCCAGACTGAAATGGTTTGCCTCCAGAGAAATTTTTCTGTGACTCCTAAGCTTGCTCCATTTTAAGCGACCTTCTATGTTTTATGTAAAGACAAGGAAAAATAGAATCCAGTTTCCATTTTAAGAACTTAGCTGGGAAAGGGAGATTAATTTTCTCGTCAATTATCCATTTTCTATCTCCCATTAAAGGAGTTTTGACATGCACTTCTCATTCTCCTCTTCTTTCGAAAGTTCTTGTTTTAGAAAATAAAGATGACCTTACCCTTAATGTACAATCTTAGGGGTGGCAGCTAATTCCTAGTTGCATTTCTAGAGATCGGTTAATAGAGTAAAAATAAATCAGCCTCAAAACAACAACAACAAAAACAATTCAGACCCATCCTACATATGGCATATGACTATGGCAAGGGGCCGCATTTAAAATATCTGAATAGGATTGACCTCCTGAATGTTATTTAGGTTTACTTTTCAAACCTCTGAAAAAGTGAAATATTTTGTTTATGTACACATGGGTATCCTCGTGTGTGTGTGTGTGTGTGTGTGTGTGTGTAGAGAGAGAGAGAGAGAGAGAACATTGCCTAGTGTGGAGAGTTCTTTTTCATAACTCATAACTGCTTTTTAGAGTATATGTTGTAACTAGATTGAAGATACCTCTGGATCTCATTAATCAAGGTTCTAAATGCTAATCCCTGCTGTCCAGTGAATGCTAAGCAAATCCGCCCCGCCCCCGCTCTGCCTGCCTGGCAGTTCATCTGGGATGATGCTTCCCCAAACCTTAAAAGAATAACTGTGGGCCCGAGTAAGACTTGCTGCAAAGACATTCCAGGCAGTGAGTTTTCTCCGTGCTTTGCAGGCCATCGGGGAGAAGAGAGCGGCTCCAGATTCTGGCAAGAAGCCCAAGACGCCGAAGAAAAAGAAGAAGAAGGATCCCAACGAGCCCCAGAAGCCAGTGTCCGCATACGCCCTGTTTTTCAGGGACACACAGGCGGCCATTAAAGGTCAGAACCCCAACGCCACCTTTGGAGAAGTCTCAAAGATCGTGGCGTCCATGTGGGACAGCCTGGGAGAGGAACAGAAGCAGGTGAGTCAGAGCTCCGTGGTGGCCACACGACTAAAGAGTGGCCGGGGTGGTCCGTACATCTTTACTTTTTTTTTAAATCCTCACCTGAGGATGTTTTTATTTTTTATTTTTATTTATTTTAGAGAGAGAGAGAGAGCAAACATCAATTAGTTGCCTCCTGTACATGCCCCGACCAGGGATCAAACCCACAACCTATTGGTGTATAGGAAGATGCTGCAACCAGCTAAGCCACCTAGCCAGGGCTCCTTACATCTTTTTTTTTTTTTTTTTTTTTTTTTAATATTTTTAATTGATTTTTAGAGAAAGAGGAAGGGAGTGGGAGAGAGAGAAAAACATCAATGTGATTGCCTAACATCAATTGGCTGCCTCCTGCATGCTCTCTACCAGAGACCAAACACATGTAACCTTTGCATGTGCCCTGACCGGGAATTGAACCAGGGACCTTTTGGTGCATCAGACAATGATGGTCATCCAAATGAGCTGCACTGCCAGGCAATATCTTTTCTGAGTGAATATGTTCATTTAATATGATCACTTGCCACAAAATCCTTTCTAAGCTATGGAATGGAAGACACACACACACACACACACACACACACACACACACGAATATATGAACACATCCCATTCTCCAGTTATCTGGATTCCTCAGTTCCTATAAAGATGCGTGCTCTGAGCCCATTTAGAGGAGAGTTGGAGGAAATCCAGGCAGCACCCTGCAAGCATAAACCTTTGATGATAATCTCTTCACTTTAAATGATGTGGACTGTTTTCCCCCTTTGTTCCAAAGGGGCACCACAAAGCCATGGGGCCCGTCCTACTTGCTTTCTCTGTGATCATCTTTCTGAACTCTCATGCTATCCCAGTGGGTTTCCAAACTTTGAAGCCGTCCCTGCGTGTCTCATTATTTCCCCCAGGCATTTGAAATGGTATGCCAGGTTCATTTGAAAGCTCGGCAGTGTGAGAGAGAGGCATTGGGAGATTAGCCAGGCTGGTGGGAGATACTTCCTTAGGGTCTGGTCTCTTCTCCTCCTCCCTGCAACTCCTCCACACAGTGCAGAAAAGAAAGGCGTCCCTGAGGGTCAGTCCTCCCCTGGCTCCTTGCGTGAAACTCCAATGACCATTAATAGGAGTCAGCGTGAAGAATAGACCCCTATTTGTAACAACATAGACTAATGATTTCAGGGTTGGAGAGTGGAAAACCCTTGGTTTTTTTCTTTCTTGACAAATCATGATATCATTTTTACCAGCTGGTTTTGTTGGGAGGGTGCGACTATAGAAGTTGCCTGTGTGTTTGCAGTGTGCAGCAGACTGAATTTCTAGCCCGGACAGGTAACCTGAAGGGTTTGGCAAATGGATTCACCCAACTTTTCAACTCAGGGAGAAAGATGGGCTTTGGTCTAATACTTAGCCATCAGGTCCTTGTTAGAAAAAGAAGCCCAAAATCATATGTAATATGCTGGGAAATGTTTATGGAACTCATGCATCGCACTAATGGACATCTCCCCACTTTTACTATGTACGGCTTTTCTTCTCTGCAAAAGAAAACCAAGGTCCGAGGCCTCTATCCGTTCTGTCTTCACACACTCTGCCTATGGATGGTGTGTTGTTTTGTTTTTTTAAATATACTTTTATTGACTTCAGAGAGGAAGGGAGAGGAAAAAGGAGATAGAAACATCAAGGATGAGAGAGAATCATTGATTGGCTGTCTCCTACATGCCCCCTACTCCACCCCACAACCTAGGCATGTGACCAGGAATTGAACCATGACCTACTGGTTCATAGGTCAACTGTCAACCACTGAGCCACACTGACTGGGAAAACTTTTTATCATTTCAACCATTTGCAGCAAATGTTATTCTTCTTACTTCCTTATTTACTGCCTTCTCATGAGATCCTTTACTGTTACTCTCAAAGAATCTATGCTACACCCGGAAATATCTTTTTCTCCTTTCCCACAGTAAAACATCAAAACTGTGTTCCAATGAGGGTGGCTGGGTTTTGTTTTGAGGTGTGTGTGTGTGTGTGTGTATGTGTGTGTGTGTGTGTGTTTACAATGATCAAAGCCAGGGAGACCAGCTTTTTCTGTGAGTTTTGTTGTACTAAATGGTACAACAGGTATTGGACGGGGTGGTGCTAATTGTGGCCTTTCGACAGGTGTATAAAAGGAAAACGGAAGCTGCCAAGAAGGAGTACCTAAAGGCGCTGGCCGCCTACCGGGCCAGCCTCGTGTCTAAGGTAAGCCGATCTCTGAGAGGCACATGGTGGCTCTGCCGCCCTCCCCGTCCCGCACCCAGCATTGAACACATCGATGCAACTTGCCTCAGATTTGACCAGAAAAGCCTCTTGCACAACTCCCGCATTTATTTGTTTCCATTAAGGATTCCTGGCATTGCCGAAACCGGTTTGGCTCAGTGGATAGAGCGTCGGTCTGCGGACTGAAAGGTCCCAGGTTCAATTCCGGTCAAGGGCATGTACATTGGTTGCGGGCACATCCCCGACAGAGGCAGCTGGTCGATGTTTGTCTCTCATCGACATTTCTAGCTCTCTATCTCTCTCCCTTCCTCTCTGAAAAAAATCAATAAGATAGGGAAAAAAAAAAAAAAAAAAAAAAAAGGATTCCTGGCATAAAAAATAGGATGCATTGAAGTAATTTCAGCTGCTAAATCAGAGTGGTTGCCAAAGGACTCCCTGGTCTCTAGACACATAGGGAAGCTGTTTAGACACATTTTAAATAGCCTTTTAGTCTTCCGTGGAAGTCAGAGATGGAGCTGTGTGTCCGTGGCCTGTGGTTAAGCTGGGAGGCATGTCCGTCTCGCAATGTGCAACATCATGTCATAAATCCACCAGTGACTTCATTATTGCAGGAGGGGAGGCTGCATTTTTTTGACCAGATGGCTCCATGTCATATAAATAAATAAACCTCATGACTATTTAAAATAAAATTACGCTCCCGCCACTGAAAAATAAAGACATGTGTATGTATTACACATTGCGTATACAAAAGGCCCTGATGTATTATAAAATGCACCGACATCCCAAAGCAAATGTCACTCTAGATTATTATTACCTTGATCCAAAAGGAGCCTGAGCTATTACATGATATTATTTTAGCACTTAATTAACTTTGTCTTCAGCCCCCCTAGAATTTCGAGAGGCTTTGGGGAGAGGAAATTGAGCTGAGGGTTTTTTTCCTGATGTATGTCCCCTAGCAAGCAGAGATTCCATTGCCTTGTCATTGCTTTTGCCTGCAGTCCCATGTAGGGCCTCGGGGCGTGGTAGGCGGCAGGGCTGCTTGAAAGTGTGGGTCCCGTTTTTCTCTTCGAGTTGTCTCTCCTTGATCTTAAATTTATCCTGCCGCGGGCCGCCAGTGGGACACTTTGCACTTCGTTAGAAGGAGAAAAAGCGTTCTTAGGTCACTAGCAAAGCCTTTTTCTGAGGCTCTGGAAGACACGCATTGAAAGTTAAGATGCCCACATGATCTCACTCATGTGTGGAATCTAAACAACAAAATAAACTGATGAACCAAGTGGATCCAGAGACATAGACTCATGAAACAGAGTGCGGAATCTTAGAGGGAACGCGGGGAAGGACGGGGGAGTGAGAAGAGATCACCCAAAGACCATATGTGCATAGATGCGTCACCCATGGACACACACAATAAGGTGGTGAAGGCCTGGGGCAGGGGGTGGAGGTGGGCTGGAGGGGCTCAGTGGGTGGAAAAGGGGATATATGTAATACTCTTAACAATAAAAAAACAGAAACAAAAACGAAAGAAAGACAAAATGACAGCCAACACAATAATAGCCATTCAGTGTGAATGAATCAAAACTATACCTTTTTTTTTTTTTGTCAGATCAGCAAAAACTATAGCTTTTGGTGTGCCTCGACTTTTAGTAATAGTTTTGGGAGTTGAAAAAAGGTTGAAAATCGCTAGTCTGTACCTGACCCTTCAGGTTCCTTCTAATAGTAGATTTTATAAATCCGAGCGATAAAAATGCAGACGTAGACATTCAAAGTCATTTAAAGAGAGTGGGTATCAGCTGGATGGCTCCACGGTGACCTCACTACCCTGTCTCCCAAACCTCCTAGTTCTGTGAAGGATAAGGAGGAAATATAGTCTTTAGGAGGAATCACTCCAATCCCTGTGGCATCAGTAAAATATATATTTTTTGAGGCGGTAATTCTGTGTTTTTGGTACAGGATATAATAGCTAGTTTCTCTCTAGGCTGAGCCTCAGATGGTGGTTTATAGCAGGTCATGCAATCAGTCACATGAGTTTTAGACATTCTTCCCTCACCTATGGCTGCTTTGGTAAATTCTGGAACTCTTTGCAAATACTTGGTAAAATAAACCATTTCTCATGCTGTAAAGTATTCTAAGGAATCCAGTTATGTTGTTCTTATGCCCAAGTGAGCACTGTCATACAGTCATCACGCACATACGTGGCTTTGGTGTTTTCCGGCAGCTGTGGTTGTCAGTAAAAGCTGCTAACATTTACTCAATGCTTCATGTTCTAAAATGCCTCACACACACGAATCCATTCTCATGACCTCTACACAAGGCAGATACCATACAACCCCATTTTATAGACAAGGAAACTGAGGAACCACCAGATGAATTCATTTGCCCCAAATCACAGAGATCTCAAGTCGTAGACGCGGACTGGCACTCAGGCAGTCTGTACTCCGTGCCAGTATTTGGTCTGCACTCTTAAGTCAATATTTAGTGCCAACCTCAATGCTGAAGAACCGTTGCTCTTCAATATGTGTATCAGTCATCTGTCACTACAATATAGCTGCGTAACAAGAAGCTGCAAAGCCAGGGACTTGAAAAGAGAAGGGCTGATCTCAGAGGGTGCCAGTTAGCTGGTTGGTTCTTCAGATTGAGGTCATGGTGGGCAGGATTAGCTAGATCTGCTCATCTGTCTGCTGTGTGTGGGGAGGTCAGGAGTGAGGGGCAATGGACTCATTCCCGTAAGTGGCAGGCAGTAGGTGGGCCCTTGAGCAGGGTACCTGGGCCATGCACGTTGTCATCACGCACATGGCAGTGGTAGTTCTGAGAGGCAGTGTGTGTGCAAGAGCACAAGGCCCCGGGAGACCTCGCTTTCATCACATTCCATAGGCACAAGGCGGGCCCCAGGCAAGAGGTGGGAAATTTGATTCTATCCCGGGACGAACTAAAAAGCCACCGGGCAAAGGGCTTGGGGATGGGGAAGCATGCATCCTGGTGGCCATCCTGGAAGAAAAAAAAAAAAATGCTCACCTCTGTTAACTGCGCATGCATTTTTCATACTTGGGCCTTTCCCTCCCGGAATGCAGGCGGCCGCTGAATCGGCGGAAGCCCAGACCATCCGATCCGTCCAGCAGACCCTGGCGTCCACCAACCTGACATCCTCCCTCCTCCTCAACCCTCCGCACGGAGCGGTGGCGGCGGTGGCGGCCGCGCCCCAGGCCCTGCAGCAACAGTCACTCCCTCGCTCCATCGCTCCCAAGCCCTTGCCCATGAGGCTGCCCATGAACCAGATCGTCACGGCGGTCACCGTTGCGGCCAGCATGCCGTCGAACCTTGGGGCGCCGCTCATCAGCTCCCTGGGCGCCAGCCTGGTGGGCTCGGCGCCCGCCACGCAGGTCAGCCCGTCCGCGCAGACCCCTCAGCAGCAGCAGCTGCAGCAGCAGACCCAGCAGCTGCAGCTGCAGCAGATGCACCAGCAGCTCCAGCAGCAGATGCACCAGCAGCTCCAGCAGCAGATGCACCAGCAGCTCCAGCAGCAGATGCAGCAGCAGCTCAGCCAGCAGCACCTGCAGCAGATGCAGCTCCAGCAGCAGCTGCAGCACATGCAGCACCCGGTGTCGCAGCCTTCACCGCGCCAGCACTCGCCCGGCGGCGGCGCCCCGCAGCTGACGTCCCCCGTCCCCGCCATCGGGAGCCCCCCGCCGGCCTCCCAGCCGCAGCACCCGGCGCAGGTACAGTCCCAGACACAGGCGCCCGTGTTACCACAGGTCAGTATTTTCTGAAGACGCGCAGCGAGCCGAGTGGCAGGCAGGCGGATGGATGGATGGATGGATGGGCACTCGGAGGCCAGCGGAGGGTCCACGGTCCCCGCGGTGGAGACTCCTCCATCCCACGGCGGAGACTCGGAGGTCAGAGGTCGGTGTTGGCCCCGCAGACAAGCATCGCCGATGCCACGGCCCTCCAGAGTCTCTGTGAGATAGGCAATAAGAACCACAGCGTAGCTGAGCATCCTCCCCTCGCGGATGCGAAAACCACGTGGGTTTTCCACAAGACAAGCTGTGCTCTTGGATGTGATGCCTTTTCTTAATTTATTCAGGCTCTACCTACGATATGTGAATCAAACCGTCTCCTGAGTCCTGGGACCGGCCAAGGGCGACGGGGGCCTCTCTATGAGTCACAGGACGTGACTGCCTAGACGGCACTTCCAGACCACGGGGACTCCTGACCCCACCACCATGAAAAGCACAGTTGTAAACTACCTGAACCGGGAGAGTCCCATGTCATACAGACATTGGTATGACATGGCTAGTCAATGGCATTTTTTTGGTCATGGAAAAATAATAATGTAAATCACAGACTTTTGCCAAAGGTCTTATTTTTTTTTTTTCCTAAATATCTCCAGAAAAAGAAAGAAAACAAAACACACACAAAAAAAAAACACAAGCGATTAGGTTCAGTTATTGACTCATTCCCACTTCTTACCCACGCTGTCTCCAAACTGAACAATATCTAATGACCACGTTAGCCCATTATATCCATTCCAATTAGAGGGAAAGAATGTGAATATTATATTCTGTGTTTTGAGTGACAAGTTTCGAAAAATAAAAAAAAACACTGTATTTTTAAAAAGGGAAATGAACTTAAATGAAAGCAGTTATTACAAAAGTTAAGATTTAAAGTAAAAAAAAAAAAAAAAGCGAGAGTTTTTATTATGACGTACTACCGGTAGACTATTTAACAGGCTCACCGCATCTGAGTAATCAATGTAAATATTTTCTTTCCGAGGTGTACGTTTTCCTATCATGTGATGTAAAGTTTTCATACACGAGGCTTTAACGTAAACACTGGTGACCACCGACCATCCATTGCTACGTTGCTTATTGTGTTTTTACGCTGTTTTATACTTTTTTATGAGTTACGATAGCAGCCATTGAGTTGTTTGTATTTTGCTTAACTAAAACAAAAAAAAAAATGCTTTTATCTTGCTATAGAATAAACACATTTCCGTAAAGACTGTGGGCTGTATTTTGACGCCACAACCCGGACAACTGTTCACTTTTCAAATAAAACGATCTGTCACGTTTCCCTTTTGGTGCCTTGAATACGTGTTGGAGGGCAAGTAGGCCACACCCCAACTTGTGTCCGAACAGCTCAAGACCATCTTCTCAGTTGGCAATGGGATGTCAGAGCTAAGGGTGTGCATGGCCTGGCCCCAAACCAGGGCCCTTGAAAAACAACAACAGAAAATACTTCGGAAATAGTTTGGGGATGATCCTTTTTGAAGGGGCAGGTGCGGAAGGAAGGTAAGTAGAGAGGAAAAAGCATGCATCTTCTCTGAGAGGGTGGGAGCTGGCCTGGGTTGGCGATTGCTCTTAAAACCCACGCTCATTCTTAAGCCAAAATAACGATTTCCGTGCCCATGCCGTCTCCCTCCCCCTCCACCCCCTCGCTCCTGATGGCTCCTCTTGGAGAAACGCTGTGACCACGGTCCCCAGTTGTCTTGCATGATTAATTACAGCATCTGTCGTGTCAGAAGCTGTAATGAAGAGGTCTTGATAAAAATTGCAAATTACCACTGGCAACAGTCTTCCCCTGCTTATGATGAAATAAAAATTAAAAACAGCAAGTGTCAAGCCTGACCAGACCCTCATCTGGAGGAGAAAAAAAAGAATACACACACACACACACACACACACACACACACAACCAAATGAGGGTGTGAGTGTCGGGTCCATAGTCCGCGCGCGCGAGGCACTCAAAGCATAATGGACTCTGGATGCTCCAAAGTTGTTGCAGCTCAAAGAATATTTACTGTATGTTGTGGGCTATGAATAATGAATCCGGCTTTAAATATTTCATAGTCCTCCCGTCCTCTGTAGAATGTACAAATATTGAACAGCAAGAGATTCTAATTATAAATTTATAGATTTCTTGCTGTAGAGAAATGTATGTCTAAATGGAAGCTTTTCCTAAGATGCATGAGCTGATGGGTCTCACCGTACAGGTTTCGGACGGTCCCTCGTCCGGTCTATGAGAGGGCAGCTGTACCCCACACGGAAGGGACCTGCTCGTGTCAGATCCATCCGAAGCAGAACTGACGGGAGGTTGGGGGGGCGTGTGATTCTGTGGATCCAGACGAACGTTCCAGAACAATAAGAGCCGTTTTACATTCTGTTGTGAAACCTTTAGACAAATGTCTTCAGAATTAATTGCTAGACTCCCTGTGACAGTAATTGTGTTTTAGTTCTGTAATTGTCATCTTGAAAACCCATGAAGTATTGCTGGGGGGAAGAAGTGTCACTCGTGATAAGGCTTAATTGCAAGTGAAGTCTGTGTTCCACTGTTTGCAGTGAGAAGCAGGTGTTGTACCATCTATTAAATGACTTTGGAAATCTTGGGTTTTATCACATTTGATTAAACGCTGAGAGGCCACCGATGGTCCATGGCAAGGGGGGAAAAACATAGTTCTGTCCCTCCAGGTTAAAAAAAATTAATCATTGGGCAAAACTATATAAAAGTCCTCTTTCTCAGGACTCACTAAGAATATGGTGAATCCACTTGGATTTCCATTTGTCCATGGGTTCCTGGTGCTTGGAAGCAAGAACTTGGTGTACTTTGTGTGGTGGTTACAGGTCAGAAATAAATTGGGGTGCTGAAAGGTAGGCCTGAGAAATGTGGAAGCTGATTCGTGGGGCGCCTCAATGGCCTTCAAGCCTGCCCCCCTTAAGTGTCCACAATCATTGCCAAGGCCCTCCCGTCCCCTCCACCTCCCTCACACCCCTCTCCTCTGTCCCCCCTGCCGTGGGCACATCATTTTATTACTCTGCCTGAACATGCTCTCGTCCTCGCATTAACCTGTATGCCGCACGATGTCATAATCTACGGGGTTTCCCTTTGTAGCCGATGCGGGGTCATTCGTTCCTGACTCCCCAGAACAAAGGCCTCTGTGCCTTTGTCGCAGCGTCCTTTCTGCGGTAGATTCTCACCTGACGGGGAGCTTGAAGGCTTCCCAGACAAATGGATGCCTAGCTGGAGAGTGAGCAGAAGTGGCCTTCGGATGTCTGAGTGGTCCCTCTCCCCTTTCTCACTCCACGGAGCCTTTTTTTCCTTCTCGGAGCTGGACTTCAATCTAACCTCCCCTACTCCCCTCCCCCTCCACTGTCTTTGTTTGGCTTTTGTTTCGCAACAGCTGTTATTATCGTTTTTTTGGTCAGCTGTGATTGCTGGAGGCAAAATAGGACCAGATGGTGTTTTGCTATGCATGAATGGGGAGTTGGAGGGGTGGCGATTGAATAGGCCAAGTCTGAATGGTGTCTGTGCACCACCTGCCTGCCTGGGCAGCCGCGCGCACATCACAGGAGCGTGATCCGCCGCAGACCCACCGGCTTCGGGTGGGAAAGTGGGGAGCGGGCTGGTTCCCCCCATATTTATTGATCTCCCATGCACTGACCGGATAAGCCAGGCAATCTGAGTTAATTGGATATGACACAGCTTGGGCTTGCAATCTCTCTAGAATTCCTGGTTTGCTTTAAGGATTTCATTTTTTCCCAAAGTAGACACACACAGGCACACACATACACACACACAACACACACACACACACACACACACACACACACACACACACAAATAGCAAAAGTTACTAGGCTAAGTAGGCAAAGTGGCTAATATAAAATTATGTAGGTCCCAGGAGCATAATTCTGTACTACATCATCCGTACATTATATTGTGCTTTCACATCCCAAGTCAAGTTTATTAGCCAATGTCAAAGCAAGCCAGTAAGAAATACGTTTTGAAAAGCCTAAGATTGTGGACTTGCAGAGCCTAAGGCTGAGGTGTCAGGAGGTGAGCACATCTCCATGATATTTGTATTAGCTCAGAAGGTCAAAGTGAATCCTGAGATGTAGCGAGCTCTCATCTTTGTAGAGTTTATCCGCCCAGTAATGCGCGCTTCTGAGAATGTGCCTCACGGGGAACACCACACACACACACACACACACACACACACACACACACACACAGACTAGATTAGAATCTGCTTAGGAAATGCCAGCGCTCCCTGTTTCTCCTCTTTCCTCGAACTGTAGCGAGTGTTGCCAACTAGCTGAAGTACTAGCTTCAAGGACAGACACTAGCCGGGAATGGGTTTGACTCTGGTTGATTGTGATCCTACAGGGGTGTGTGTGTGTGTGTGTGTGGTTGTGTTGCTCCGTGTGTGGCTGGGGAAAAGCTCAATCATCCGGAAGCCTGGTGTTACACACGCAGGCAGCCCCGTGTGCCCGAGGCCCTAATTACTTGCGTTTACTCCTGCTACAGGCCAAACGTGGTGATCGGTACCGACGAACGGAGGTGTAAGCATAAACACAGCTTTCGGTTTACTCTGTGTGTTTGAAATGTTCCAACGTGGAAGTTCAAAAAGTAATAACTCTCCCGACCTTCAGGAGCCTTAATTTCTTTTATTGCAGCGGGGACATGTATCCACCAGACAAAATGATTTGTGTGCTAATGAAAGACAGAGAACAAATGGGGGAACATGTGAGTGTGTGTGTGTGTGTGTGTGTGTGTGTGTGTGTGTGTGTGAATATAATTTGAGAAAATGATAATGTGTTTGGAAAGGGAAGAGATTGTGATTGGGTAAACGTGTTGGGGGAAGTTGCATGGACTTCCTGGCCTGGAAGATGTGCCTGGGAGGGTGGGTAGGACTCCAGGGAGAGGAAGTCCTCTCTTGGTAGATCTAGGAACTGTCCCCAGGCAGGGCAGAGCAGGAGAGAAAGCACTCAGG